TTATTCATCACGTAGTTAATGGAGGTGCCCAAGACTCGAACTTCAGTAGGGTAAAGCTCGCTCGAGTACATCCAGTTAACCTGATGAGAAAACATACTATATGCACACAATAAAAAAATGTAACTCAGTTCTCACTGCAGTGAGTGACAGAGAGCGCAGTTTCTCGTGGACGAAAACGTGATGTCAAGGGCGGACGGACAGACGGACATGGTAAGCACAATAGAGCATTTTTTCCATAAATGAGAAAATGCGCTAAAAATGCGCTAAAAATGGAACATGGCTCATGGCATTCTGAAATTATAAACATCATGATGTTTTATTTCTAATTCTGTTTTCTCACCATATGTAGATGCAATTTATTTTCTGCCTATTTAATCTAAATTTTTAAGAATAATTGGAGATTAAACTATATAAGGAACCCTTTGCTGAATATTCAAGCTAAAGCCCGTAAAGCACACATCGAAAACAATTTCAAGTACCACGGTTTTGATATTAAAACTAATTTTATTTTATTACGGTTTCAAAGTTTTATAGACAGGAACACAATTTTTTATTTTTATGAAATTTGCAAGTTAAAAATAAAAATTATAAAAATTAAGCAAAATTTAAAATTTATTATATAGACTCCGTCAGGGCACCATGGAAAGTCCTCATAAATACAATAATCTCTCATATAACTGCATGAATTTTGTGGCTTGTATGTGCTAGAAGAAGGAGTTTTGCGATAACGTATCTTTGATACTTCGTAAAGGAATAATGCATGGGTCTCAAATTTTTCCAACTAGGAGATATGTGTGATATAAATTTCATGTGACATTTGAAAATGGAATCGACTCCTATTAATATATTGTTTTACGATATTTTAGGAGTAGGTGAAAATTTCAGGCGTGAGGTTTACATTTTTTTCAAAATATTAAGTTCAATTGTTCGCTTAAACTTCAGAGCGGAAGTTGTGTGGAACTTAAATGACAAATATGGGATTGAAAGAGCCATACATGACTCGACGCAGCTTCAGTTACACAATTAAAAACGGTACTACGGAGAATGGAATTATAAAATTTTCGCTGTTTTCTATTCCGAGCGCCAACAGGTTGTATTCAAGTCTACAAATAATTTGTATATTTCATACGGAGATAAACCAAATATTAACGATCGATGAATATTATTAACTGAGAGCATAGCTTACCTGGAACGTAGCGCAGAGCAGCATGTACGCCAAAGTCAGAATCACGAACGTCGGCCAATCTGTGGACAAATTTTCATTGCAATGATTGTAGACTTGTTTTGATCCTAATTAAATTTCCCTAATTAATTTATCATTCATTATTTAACAAATCAATCAACTTTTTCTTGTTTTTTTTGCAAAATTTTGAATCTTACGCTGCTGTGATTTCATGATTAATTTTATCTTGGAATAATAACTGATAATTAAAAGAAAACAGTTATGCTACAAGGAATAAAAGTGTTTCTCAGTTCAACTCCACCGTGAGCGAGCTGCAAGAACTCGAGCGCCACCAGGCCCAGGAGGAGCAAGCAGCTCGTCACCAGCAGTCCAGCGATGACGGGCCGACGTCCAAATTTTGTCGTTAAAGGAGCCGGGAAAATGTATGCTGGGACCTCAACGATACCAACCACGACCATGTAGACGAATGGAGACCTGGCAAGTCGATATAAAAACCCTCAACAAAACATAAGTCAAGGTCATTATATACCCTAAACTATCATTCAACGAAGACTGTTATTATTTAAGGCACCGAAACATGATATACATAATCGATATAAAAACCCTCAACTATACATAAGTCAAGGACATTATTCCCTAAACTATCATTCAACGAAGACTGCCATTATTTAAGGCACCGAAACATGCTATAAATAGTCGATGTAAAAGCCCTCAACAATACATAAGTCAAGGACATTATTCCCTAAACTATCATTCAACGAAGACTGCCATTATTTAAGGCACCGAAACATGCTATAAATAGTCGATGTAAAAGCCCTCAACAATACATAAGTCAAGGACATTATTCCCTAAACTATCATTCAACGAAGACTGTCATTATTTTAGGCACGGAAACATTATATAAATAGTCGATATAAATACCCTTAACCATACATAAGTCAAGGACATTATACCATAAACTACGTGTATCATTCAACGAACACTGCTATTATTTAATTAAGGCACCGAAACATAAACATTGAACAGTGCCCGAAATTGAAGTAATCAGCGCCTTATTAAGTACATATGAATATAACAATGTAGTGATCAATTGAGACTTGAGTGAACGAGTTAAGTTAAGACATCCATCAACAGTAATCACTGTAATAACCAAAATTGGGATAGAAATCGGGGTAATTAATAGCTACCTCATTCGTTCACCACTCACGTTCTAATATCAATAACACTCTACTATCTGCTATTTCTTTCACCACTAACCACTTTTATTTTGAAAGCTTCATTGATCTGCGACGAACAATACTTGTTTTTGTTCTATCGTCTCCCATGTACTCAATTGCAATTACTATTTATATCCAACCGAAAGATGTATACACTGCTACTTTCTCACCGTCATCACTCTGCCACTGTCACCACTCGTTAGGTACTATTTTCTCACGGTTACCACTCAGCCACTGTCACCACTCGTTAGGCCACCATCACCACTCACCCACTGCTATCACTCTGTAGGGGTATTATCATCACAAGGATGCCGATGGTAACAGTGATGATGGTGCGCACTGCCATCATCTTCAGCATGATGGTGGAGCTGAACAGTCGCCTAACACTTGCCAGCTGGCCCTGCTGCCGCACACTTCGCTTGCACTCGCTCTGAGGAATTGTAATGTAATGTNTATAGAGAAAATATAATGAAACGAAAATCAAATTCCTCAATTTATCCCATGAACTAGGCTTAGTATGACGACGAAAGAAAGAATTTTGTGTGTCAAATATTTTTTTGAATAATTTTTTTGTATGCAGTATTGATTCATCGATAAAAGTACGGTTCATTCATTAGTAGATTCATTAGTTATTCATCCTCGGCTGAAATACAGTGAGTTATGCTTGGGTACAAGTTAGATAATCATTTTACCGTAAGATGATATTTATTCCAGTCCAAAATTATAATGACGGACGATGAATAATAAAATATTCAATGTCTGTAGTCAATGGAACATACATAACACCTACCCTACATAACGCACATAATAACCTATATAATTCCTAATAATCTTCCAAATGTCTCGGACTTTAAGAGAAACGATCTCCATCGAAAACTAAATTCCTAAAAAGTTCTAAACATCTAATAATTTTTCTTGAAAATAAGTTTTCTCTGCTGCAAAATATATTTGCCTCTTTCTTAAAATACGTACGTTACTCAGAGAGATTATCGTGAGAGTTCGTGATTATTTATTCCTGATTAGATCTTTCGTGAGACTACCAACATGTTCAGCAAGTAATAAGTTTCGCTTCAAATACGTACGTTGCCCACAGAGATTATCGTGAGAGTCCGTGATTATTTATTCCTGATTAGCTTTTTTGTGCGACTACCAACATGGTCATTAAGTAATAAGTATCGAAAATAAGTGAAATTCTCGGTACTCACACAAAGTGATGATAGAGTTGCCGGCTGAGGATGCGAAGACCCCAAGAAGGAACCTGGCGAAGAAAATCCCAGTGACGCAGGGCGTGGCGATCTGCGTCAGCGCCATCACGGCCAACGCCAACGACGATATCCACGTGACCGGCAGGCGGCCGTAGCTACGCGGAGGTACGAAATAGACAATATTTCGATATGTAGCAACGAAATATGTTATGTTCAGTGTGACGAAATGGAGAAAATATCGATACGTAGCAATGAAATATGTTATGTTTAGTTTTATGTTGAGGAGCATTATTGTTCTTCTTTTCACTGGATTTTACGAGTTAAGTTGATACGCAGAGGTACGAAATAGACAACATATCGATCGGTAGCAATGAGATATATGTTATGTTCAGTATTATGTTGAGGAGCACTATTGGTCCTCTTTTTAAAAGATTTTACGATGACTTAGGTTGATGCTGAAAGCACATTTCAATTTTGGTCAGACTATAAATGTTTTATTTATTTCATTACGAAGAGCGTCGTTGTTTTTAAATGAAAAAGAAAAATTGCAATGAATATTTAAGGAGGCGGATCATGGAATCGTTGCTGTGGCTTTCCGCCTCTGCCACTCACTGCTCAGGCATCCAGCCTCCACAGATTGTTCCAATCACTGCTCCTAGCCTCTGCCACTCACTGCTCAGGCATCCAGCCTCAACAGCTTGCTCCAAGCACTGCTCCTAGCCTCTGCCACTCACTGCTCAGGCATCCAGCCTCAACAGCTTGCTCCAAGCACTGCTCCTAGCCTCTGCCACTCACTGCTCAGGCATCCAGCCTCAACAGCTTGCTCCAAGCACTGCTCCTAGCCTCTGCCACTCACTGCTCAGGCATCCAGCCTCAACAGCTTGCTCCAAGCACTGCTCCTAGCCTCTGCCACTCACTGCTCAGGCATCCAGCCTCAACAGCTTGCTCCAAGCACTGCTCCTAGCCTCTGCCACTCACTGCTCAGGCATCCAGCCTCAACAGCTTGCTCCAAGCACTGCTCCTAGCCTCTGCCACTCACTGCTCAGGCATCCAGCCTCAACAGCTTGCTCCAAGCACTGCTCCTAGCCTCTGCCACTCACTGCTCAGGCATCCAGCCTCAACAGCTTGCTCCAAGCACTGCTCCTAGCCTCTGCCACTCACTGCTCAGGCATCCAGCCTCAACAGCTTGCTCCAAGCACTGCTCCTAGCCTCTGCCACTCACTGCTCAGGCATCCAGCCTCAACAGCTTGCTCCAAGCACTGCTCCTAGCCTCTGCCACTCACTGCTCAGGCATCCAGCCTCAACAGCTTGCTCCAAGCACTGCTCCTAGCCTCTGCCACTCACTGCTCAGGCATCCAGCCTCAACAGCTTGCTCCAAGCACTGCTCCTAGCCTCTGCCACTCACTGCTCAGGCATCCAGCCTCAACAGCTTGCTCCAAGCACTGCTCCTAGCCTCTGCCACTCACTGCTCAGGCATCCAGCCTCAACAGCTTGCTCCAAGCACTGCTCCTAGCCTCTGCCACTCACTGCTCAGGCATCCAGCCTCAACAGCTTGCTCCAAGCACTGCTCCTAGCCTCTGCCACTCACTGCTCAGGCATCCAGCCTCAACAGCTTGCTCCAAGCACTGCTCCTAGCCTCTGCCACTCACTGCTCAGGCATCCAGCCTCAACAGCTTGCTCCAAGCACTGCTCCTAGCCTCTGCCACTCACTGCTCAGGCATCCAGCCTCAACAGCTTGCTCCAAGCACTGCTCCTAGCCTCTGCCACTCACTGCTCAGGCATCCAGCCTCAACAGCTTGCTCCAAGCACTGCTCCTAGCCTCTGCCACTCACTGCTCAGGCATCCAGCCTCAACAGCTTGCTCCAAGCACTGCTCCTAGCCTCTGCCACTCACTGCTCAGGCATCCAGCCTCAACAGCTTGCTCCAAGCACTGCTCCTAGCCTCTGCCACTCACTGCTCAGGCATCCAGCCTCAACAGCTTGCTCCAAGCACTGCTCCTAGCCTCTGCCACTCACTGCTCAGGCATCCAGCCTCAACAGCTTGCTCCAAGCACTGCTCCTAGCCTCTGCCACTCACTGCTCAGGCATCCAGCCTCAACAGCTTGCTCCAAGCACTGCTCCTAGCCTCTGCCACTCACTGCTCAGGCATCCAGCCTCAACAGCTTGCTCCAAGCACTGCTCCTAGCCTCTGCCACTCACTGCTCAGGCATCCAGCCTCAACAGCTTGCTCCAAGCACTGCTCCTAGCCTCTGCCACTCACTGCTCAGGCATCCAGCCTCAACAGCTTGCTCCAAGCACTGCTCCTAGCCTCTGCCACTCACTGCTCAGGCATCCAGCCTCAACAGCTTGCTCCAAGCACTGCTCCTAGCCTCTGCCACTCACTGCTCAGGCATCCNAATTTCTTAACCTAAATAAAGAATAAGCTAAGAGAATCGCGTACACTAATTTTAGTTATCACAATAAGAAGCCAAATTAGAGTCCAATCCAATTATCTAATCTGGTGAAGCGAAAGGAAACTGTAACCAAGAGCAGCTTCTGACCTTCAGAGGTGGACGCTATAGAGCTCTGCACTTGATAAGATTGCAATGCAATATTGCTGTACATGTTCCATTCTCTATCTTTGAACGCAATAAGATATACAAACGTATATATACGCAACGTATATATACGTATATATTTGTATAAGAAAATTGTCAATAAGAAATACTCTCTGATCTTCAATGATACCTGCATTACGTATAAATACGTATATATACGCAATAAATAAATACAATGCGCAAGAAATTAGTAATAAATGAGGTAAACATCAGTTGTTTTAATTAAAAACTTTGACATTTTTCATTTCTTATATTATGAGACAAGACTGAAAGACTGAAAATATTTTTCCAGCAATGGAAAAATCTTTCACCCTTGTAACTGATTAATGCTCCTAAACTCTTGAAGTTCAATTCCTATTTTGTACTCTGAAAATTATATATATAAATCAAGAATAATTTTTGTGTAATAGCTCGCTAAACACTACACAATCTTTTACGGAAACAGTTTATCTTCTGCCACGAAGGACATTTTTGCAAGATATTTTATGATGACTTTTTTTGAATTTTTTTTTTCCATTGCTTAATAATAGAATTAGAAAATATTTCCCTGCCTATAATTTACTTACTCTAATTTTATAATAAAACAGCTCATCAGAGAGATATTACTATTACCAACGACACTGTCACAGAATAAAATAATCCAACAGAAGTAAATGAGATCATTCTCATAATATATTATAAAACTATATACTATATATTATATATTATGTATCATATGTTGTATACTATATATTATATATTATACATTATATATAATGTATGCTTCACTGCTCGCGATTCCGTTGAGAAAGCTCATATATCTGTCCATCATTTATGACTTGTTCCT